TCATGACCGCGTTTTTCTATACCTCCTTAGGTGAAGCGACTTGTCTTCGGAGGGTTAACTTCCTCAAAGGCAGACCGTGGGGGAAAGCGAAAAACGCAGTCATGAAGAAAAAGATTTGAGCTTTCCGAAAAGCGCTGAAATGTTCATAAAGGTTGCAAATTCAAGAAGAAAATCAGCGTTGGGCATTGGTTGGGGATTTTCGAAATTGGATGTCCCGGTTTGAACGGCGATGATTTTCTAAAAGCTCAACTGTTCTTCTCTCTTTAAGTACTGAAGTGTTCATAAAGGTTGCCAACAAAGAGAAAATCAGCGTTGGGCATTAGTTGGGGATTTTCGAAATTGGATGCAAACTGTCCGGTTTGAACGGCGATGATTTTCTAAAAGCTCAACTGTTTGCAAATCCAAGACCAATGTCGAATATTGGAGGATCCTCTTTGCAAAAACCACTTGCATTGTTCCTGAATTTCCCGGAATTTATGAGATAATCGCGTTGGGGATTTTCTGAAGAGTACTCCGAGCTGCTCGAAAAATCCGTTTTCTGTGTACCGTTTCAAGTGGGCGTATTCGGATATCCAGGAATGCATCTAGAATGCATCCCTTCGTGGAATAGGAGCAAGCAGTAGTTGTTTAGCGCCCATTAGCTTCATTTCTGGATGCGCCATGCTTAGGCTCCCACGCAGAGGTAGTGGGATGGTGCAAGTTCTACGCAATGCCTGTCTACGCGAGCAGATGTGTTTATAGGATTCGGGGGGTCCATGGCCAATCCACGCACAGTCTTGTCCGTTGCGGATGATGGGCGTGTCCGCCCCATCATCCGCAACGGAGAACGGCAACCTCACGCCGCCAGATCCGTGCTCCACCAAGTTGCTGAGTCCGATAAAGAAGACCAAGACCAACTGCTGGTAAACGTTTGATACGAAGGATATGGTAGCCCAGTCGTTTGTCGAAAGAAAAAAAAATTGGCTGGCGCCGCGCCAGCGCGGCCTCGTGGACACGCCACATCATCCGCAACAAATCAGGGTATGTGTTGGGGAGACGGCCAGGAGTCACCGCCGCGCTTGAAACTAGGTCACCGCGCGCGGCGACCTGTCCGCGTGGCGCGGCGGTGAGTCCTGACCTGGCATTTTGCCAAGTTCCGATCAATACGACCCTATCGCCATTTTCTTGTAGCGTTCTCTCTTTTCCTCATCTTCCATCTGCCAAGAACATGTCCAAACAGGTAGACATGTTCAAACATGCAAACATGTTAAAGCATGTAATCGCCGCGCGCGGTGACCCACTTCCCAGCGCGGCGACCTAGTTTCGGGCGCGGCGGTGAGTCCTGACACACACCCACACCTTTGCGCTGCTCGTTACTGGCTACTGCATTTATTACGCACCCCCTCTCCCAGCCGCCAAATACGACCCTCCTGTTGGGGAAATCCCCAACAACGATTTGCCCTGGGCCACAGTCAGGAATTCCTAACTCGTATACATATCTCGCTCAATCTAATGCATTCATTGGATTTTTGAAAGTGTTTTATAGCACACTATATTCTAGAAAGCTTGCTGTTTCTATGTTTCTACCTAAATATTGATTTTTCTTCATCAAAATAAAAATTCTCTGATCCATTTATTTGCCTGGCGACATTATTCAAGTGCGCAGTAAAAAATGTGCTCTCTGCACAGTTCTAGTCTTGTCATCATGTAGTGAGCGTACATGCAAATTCAGAAAGTGTATTGATTTACATTCTTCGAGCCACTTTCAAAAACTGTCAAGAATTTCGCTCTGTAAATGTGCATTCCAAGTTCAAGTGTGTGAATATGTAAAGTTCTACTTCACTTTCCTATTCTGAGCGTCTACTTGTTACAATTTTTTTGGACAAAGAGACTTCGGTAACGCAGCAGGACATCAGAGAACTGGCAGCACAATTTTATCTTTGCTTCTGCTTCGTTAATTTTTTCCCGCTTGTTTTCTTCTGCAAGAGAAGACGTTCGTAGTGGTCTCTAACTTATTTTACCATAACTGCCATGATTTCTCCTTGTAGCTGATTGGCGGCGACTGACAGCCGTGATCATGTGAGCCAGATGGTGTAAGCTTCAGCAGCGGAAAGGTAAAAGTTCCATGTTAGCTGAAGGTCGGGAATTTTGCAAGAACTGCAACTGCATTTTGCAAGAACTTCTTGTGCTTCATGAGGTCCGACGGGCTAAATGAGTGGGAAAATCACGAGGACCAATTGAATGGGGAAATCACATGTACTATTCTGATGAGAAAATCACAATCACAGGATTAACAGCTTTTGGCACAGAAATATCTCGTTTGCCGTTGTCATTTGAAGAAGATATGGGTGCCATGAGACGAAATCATCGCTGCCAAGCTTTAACAACCCTAAACAAGGTCAACATTGGGTTATGCTGCCTTACATTGAAGTTACATTTTCCAACAATTGGAAAAACTCACCTGGAAGTCACTTCATGATTCTAAATGGGACCGAATGATAAAGCTTCAAGAACAGGTGACAACAATGCAAAAAAAGCCTCATCTCTTTTTTATATCATGTATGGGGGCTACTTATTCATGTACCGGTGCATAGTGGTACTTTGCACAGCCACCGAGAGCTTCAATGAGGCTATTACACTGTTGCTGTGGTTTTTAAATATTTTTCTTAGCTGGGAGTAAATTAATTAAATAACCGGTTAAGGCACGCCAATTACTCTAGTTTCCCCAGAGAACACTGAAAAAAATTACGAGTACTACGAAAAACTTTTTCTGCAACATCACCTCGAAATGTGCCTGACGGCTGGATTTGTTGAAAAATTATTGCCACAGTAGTGATGGCTGACACAATATCACACGAAATCTATCGTGGAAAACAATCAAGATGAGCCTGAAGGAAATCCAAATAGTTTTGAAATTCCTTGTTCTCAGGAGGAATCATTCATTTTCAAACATACCCATCTACAGCGTGCGACAATTCCCAAGCTAAAGTTGTTGTTACGAACATCGCCCATTTTGTTGTGGCCATCGCGAAGAAAATGTAAAAAGACACTGACACCGCTGCAAAACAACCAGCTTGCAAGCAACCCTGAATTACAATCATAAGTGCGTAAAATTATTCGCGTGCTATCTGAAATGCAAAGTAAATTCAGGGATAGGTTGACAACGACGAGGTATTCTGTAAGGTAGAGTTGTAACAAAGTTCGTTTTCATCAAGTTGCATAAGTCGTTTAACAACTGAACATCCCATTGGAAGCGGTGTGCTAAGGGTACAGCATCGTTGTGAACTCATAGAGGAGGGGTCACTTGGCCGCGGGGTGGTGGGGGTCGTAGACGCAGGGTCGATGAGCACCAAACAGCACAAAAGTGTCATCGCTGAACTTGATGGAGCAGACGGGAAGCAGCAAAAGACCCGAATGTAAGGAAGACTACAAAATATCAGAACATTCGATTAGCAATATCAAAAGTTGTCATAAATTCTGAAAACGTAGATGACTAATATCCGTCTACAGACGAACGTTTCGACCTTTCCAAACAGGGGGTGGCTAGCAAGAAACCATTACTTTGCAGAACTTCACGCTAAATCAGGAACGTTCCCCTTCCCACTAGCCTGGCGTAGAAGTGTAACTGAATGGCGGCAGACTGCCACCATATCGATCGGGAGTAATAACCAAATCTGCTTCGACTCTGTCAAGGGAAATATGCGCTCGGAGCATCTTAAAAGGGCTTTCGAATGAGTACTCCTCATAACACGTACACAAGAAGGAGTCGATGTTTGTGTGTGCTAATAACCTCTGCGCGAGGATGACGCCATCTAAACATATTGCTTCTGAACCAGCAGGGGTCTTCAGGGAGTACTGTGCGAGGCTTGTTGTCGAAGAGGAATATTAGGGGTCCTGATGGCTTTTTTGTGTTTTGCAAAAGATTGCGTTCGAAAGAAATTATTCTCGTTTGAAGCATAAAAACCCGCCAGCGATTCACCCCTATCCATCCGTAACCATCCAAAATATTTTACGAACGGGGAAGATACACATTGAGAGTAGATAGAAAACAGAAGAGTACAAAGATGATATTGACATACTGTCCTCCGTTTCCCAAGAGCCCTCGTCCTGAAAAAGTGATTAAGCTCGGAAAACGCATCGCGATTCCCCCTCGTCAGGCAACGCTCCAGCGCAACTTTGCGCTCGGATCGTGGCACGGGCCTCGGCGGGCTACTCTTTCTTCTTGGAGATGTATGCGCAGAGTGTGGTCGATGTTCCAGCTCTTCACAGTAATACATATAATGTGGGATTAATTTGTACAATATTTGTATGTAATTACTGTTATTTTGTATTATTTAATTGTTTGTATTGTAACTTGTAGTTCATTGATGTGATTCTTTACATTTTCACCTAAAAAAATCGAGATAACCGGATTAGTCTTGTACAACCACCTAGCGGTAGTGGTTTTACTTACATAGTTTTATTTGATGATGTTGACTTATATGACTTATATGGTTTTATTTGGTGAGGGCCTCAGTGATCCGCTAAGCGAAGGCCCCTCTCGACGGGCGGCGGGCGGTGTCAGCAGCCCTCCTCGGCCGGCGAGCAAATAGATACGTATCCTATGGTTAGTTAGTGTTGGAAGAATGAAGGGGGGGGGGTTGCACTGGGACGGGAGGAGTGGTCGGACTAACACCACCATTTCACACATCACGATGCTGTCCCCTGGGCGCACTACTTTTACTACCCCTGAAACATCTAGAAGTATGCATCTGATAGGGGATTCAGCAGAGCCGTAAATTATTTTGAAAATAGCAAGAAAAACGAAATAATTCACAACACAGCAAAGAGCGTGATAAGATACAGCTGATATAGTCGCAATCGGTCGGGGGAAGGAGCTCACGACGAACGGAAAGAGCTCGACTGCGGCTGCGTTTCTCTGCCAATAAAAATCGTTTAGCAGTCGATTAGGGATGAAAGCAAACAGCAGCGAAAACACCTCGGGTGGGCTCACTTTATCCCTTTTTGAACCGCCACGACTGACTGCAACGATATCAATTCTATCCTACTTTATATGAATCGGCTATGTCCGTGTGTGTGCGTCTGTCTGTCACGAAATTCATAGCGCCGGTCCCAGTAGCTGTAGGAAGTTGATTCCAAGCAGTGATATAGAGGCTGTGACGGGAACATTATTGGTGGGTGACAGGGAGTGATCAGCTGATAAGATCCGATAAGAGGCGTCAGAAGGGGAGGGTCACCGAGTCCATAGTGCGGGACACAGCAACAGTGGGAACGTTGGTTCCAAGGTATGGTACAGGCTAAGGGACACGATTGTTATTGGTGGGTGACAAGAAGGGTAGCAGCTGATAAGATTTGATAAGGGAGTTGGAACGATAAGGTCACCATACTCATAACGCGGGCACAGCATCAGCTAGGCGTTGATTTCAGAAAATGATATAGAGTGGGAGATGGGGACATCGACGGCAGGTGACAGGAGGTGATAACAGCTGATAGGGGCTGATAAGGAACGTTGCCGTTGTTGTTCAGTCAAAGTGCTGGAGCCTTTACACTACCAAATTATAGAGTTTTAGTGATAGGGACATTGATGACGGGTGACAGGCAATCTTATCAATTGATAAGAAAGGATAAGGGGCCATTCTCATTACATCTCTTATCACTATACTGCCAAGTATTGAAGGCTATGTAGTTCGCCTGAAACAGGAAACTCAGAGAAATTCGAGGAGTTTCATGCGTTCAATAGCTTTTTTTACTTTTGAGCTTTATCTGATGAGAACGAATAA